TTTCCTCCTCGTCTTTTTTTCTTTTTCACAATATCCACATAAAGATCATCTATGCTTATTACATCACTTCCCCACACTCACTCTTGAAAACTATCTGCCAGACCTGCTTGGTAAATGCTTTCCTTAGCATAATAACACAGTACAGTCAAATTGAGCACTCATTTTAAAGCATATTTTAAAACTTCTTTTAAATTATCCTGATTATTGGATATTATGAACAAAATGGACATGGTACCAACTCCAAATTTACCTGTCCCAGACCAAACAATGATTGTCTGGGCATTCTTTTCCTCAGATGGTTATGAGGTAGTGACCTTACTTGCGCCAAAGGATGATTGTTGAGCCAGTTACTGAGGCCTTTGTCTAGGAGAGTGTTGGAAAAATAAGATTGAGTCTTAAGGCACCTTTTGAACAGGATGGACGTGACCAGAGCACAGGTATCTCACATTCTTTCTTCCACCTCTGGCTCAATCTAGAAAAGTCTTGACCTCTCCTCATGACTGTTAAATCCTTTTGCATTAGTTTATTCCCATCTCAAACCCCAGTGGAGCTGAACCTTATTATGACTAGTTGTAACTATTTTATAATTACTTGGGTAAGTAAAGTTTAGTAATATTTTAAATCAAGTGTCATGTTTATCTGCAAGGTATTTCAAAATTATTATAGATTTTAAATCTGAAGTATTTTATTCTGAGCATAGTTAAAATGACTATTCTAACCATATTTGAAAGTAAAATTTTCTTTTGTGGATCTTCAGGTGTTTCCCTTTTTCTTATCTCTATATACTATCCATCCTCAACTTCCTCAACAGGGAAAGCTCTAAAAAAGACTTTGAAAAATCTCCTGGACACTCCACAATCCAATGCAATCTTTCATCCTCCATCCCTGTTGGAAGTAATCTCTCCTTCCCTTCTCTTATGACATTGGCCATTGTCTCCCATACTGATATTTATGAACATGGCTAATCTCTGTGAGTGAATCCTAAAAGCAAGATCCTTATTTTGCTCATTATGAGTAAAAGATCCTCACTATTGGGTAAAAAGTCTTGTGGGCAAGATCCTTTTTATTTATTAGTTCCTAAAATACAATATTTTATAAACAATAGGACTTTAAAATATCTATTTTTAATGCTTTAATATTTCTAAATATTTAGGAAAGAAAAGAAATAATTGGCCATTTATTAGATGTATGACTATCCCTTAGTTAAATTTATGTTTCCTTCTTCTGTTTTTGTCTATGTGTTATACTGTGGTTATCTTTTTAATCTCTTTGCTTCTATGTCATTTGGCTTCTATTTATTCCCTTTTTGCCTTCATTTTTTCTTCTTTTTCCTCTCCTGCATGGAACACATGGAATGACACATTTGATTTGTTTCTTGAGGTTGAGTTTTGCATTTTATCCCCAAAGAAATGAATGATAAAAATAAAACACTGAACTTAATTGTTCACTAGAAAAATTAGGCCCTTACCTGATCTTTCTCCATAAGGTTAGTATATTTCAATAGAAAAAATCATTTAACATAATTAAACACAAGAAACATTGTTCTTAGAGAAAGGTTTGGGATCTGCTTGTCAAATGAGATAAATTCCTTGAAAGTTGCAATTTTGAATTCAACAGGTTTTCACCATTATTTGCATAAATTGTACAAAGTATAGTCATGAAATTATAAACCTGGGTAAAATGGTAAGAAAAAAGTAGATTTGGCAATGAAGACATTGGTGTGGTACTGAATTGATATTAATCTCAGATGGGCAACCCCACCCAAGATAACAGAACACTAAATCAGTTGTTTTGGGCATTTTAGTATTATACAAATCCTTACAGCTTGATAAACTATGATCATTTTTATGGCTTATTAAGGGATTCAAAATGAAAGAACTAACCATCCAACATTCCACCCATCCTATGTGTTTACAATAAAATACAAGCATAGTCATTAGAGACAGCAAAAGACAGAATTTGAAGGAAATATTTAAGTTGGAAGAAAAAGCTCATCTTTGGTTCAGTATTATTTTATATACTCAACTGAATTAAACACTTTAATTTCTTTTATAAGTGTCAATATCATGTCCATTTATGAAATTATTATGTAAAAAATAATATACTTCATCAAATATATTCAACTTAAATAGTGGCCCAAACATATTCTAACAACTGCATGGTTAAATAGTGCTTCCTATAAAGTCTGTTTCTCTTCCCATGGCCCTACCTAAGATCTCACCTTTAATTTGGATTTAAAAATTATGAACTAAGAAGGCTCACAGCCAGTTTCATCTTCAAATGAGATGCTCATAGGATGATTAATTTCATGTAAAGAGGAACTTGGTAATACTCTGTGTGGAAAAAATCTAAAAATTACCAAAAAAAAAATCTGCTATGCTTTCCATCTGTATTTCCTATTTTATAATCTATGACCTGAGAAGCAAGTTTCAGGATTTAGAAAAAAAATAAAAAAACATTATCATTTGTGTTGGACAAAAATTACTGTTGACATGCTACAACTCAACCTCTCTCTCTATCTCTCTCTCTCACTCGTTTTCAAGCAATTGCTGATCAGGTCAGTACAACACCATTCCCCATTATTCTTGAAGGTAAAGACAAAATGTAATTAAAATTATATCTAAACAGCAGATCTAGTTAAGTCCTATAACCACTTAACAAATAAGTGTTGATCTTTTTATTTACATTGATACCTATTTTTCTGCTGTGCTTATAGAGCTGGATATTAAATCTTCCTTCTAGTGACACCGAATAGCATATTCATAACAATCATGATTCATTACAGCTACCACTTACTTCTTGGGATAAGCCCTCTAGGCTGTATGTTGGATGTGGGGATTACAATCCTGTATGTATCCTACTTATTATAAAGATAGGTCTAACATTTACTATTTTTATGCTATACTTAAACTGTTCTATTTCAACTGCTGCTGTTTTTCTGGCCACTCTCACTACTATGGTTTATATATTAATTCCTACTAAGTACCAAAAGATATGTTCCATGCAATATACAAATTCTCATGGCAGTCCCTCAAGGCTAGTATTAATTCCCCACGGTCTCAGAGGGATTAAGTGACTTGCCCAAGTCACAATGCTACTAAGGATACAAACCCAATTAATGTCTCAGTCCATGCTCCCCACCGTAAAACAAAGATGTGAAATTTCATATCTAGTATGACTAATAGAGAAACTCACAAACTGAAGGTGACTGAAGAAGTTTATAGTTATTTTTTTAAGATTTTTTATTCATGAGAGACACAGAGAGAGGCAGAGACATAGGCAGAGGGAGAAGCAGGCTCCCTTGCAAGGAGCTCAATACAGGACTCGATCCCAGGACCCAAGGATCACACCCTGAGCCAAAGGCAGAAGCTCGCCCACTGAGACACCTACGTGCCCCAGGTTATAGCTATTTCAAGTTAACTTTCTAACTCTTAGAAGGAAGTAAACTAATTTTCTTGCCTTTTTCTTTATTGCAATGCCTAATGCAATTGTTATCAGGTTTTGGAAACAAGCACTTCATTATGTTCAGGGTGAGTGAATGTTACCCTGCATGTGCTCTCTATTCTGGTTCTGAAAATGTGAACCATGCTAGATGCTGGGAAATGCCACATGGGTTTCATCTTTGAGGACCATAATGGATGTCTGCTGGAGAGATCGCAAAGAAGGGCCTCCAACCATGTGCAAAGACACACTGTTGAGAAAGGATCAGGGTCCCAGAAAAGACTGTGGCAACATTATTTGGCAGGAAATGTCAATAATATATAAATGCCATATAACATACAGAATAAATAACAACCAGCACTTTACTCTGGGGTTGAACATTGCTACTATTTTCTCACTCTTCATTGTTCTTTCCCATCAGCACATAAGTATGTTTGAGTTTCTCACATCTGAAAAGCAACAGTGAGGGAGGCCTGCATGGCTCAGTGGTTGAGTGTTTGCCTTCAGCTCACAACATGGTCCTGGAGTCTCCTGATCGAGTCCCACATTGGGCTGCTTCAAGGAGCCTGCTTCCCCCTCTGCCTCTCTCTGTGTCTCTCATGAACAAATAAATAAAATATTAAAAAAAAAAGAATGAATGAAAAGCAACAATGATGGGAAACGTCAAATCCTCTTTGGCTTTATGTTCAGCTGATTTGAAAACACCACCAGAGGCCTTTTTCCTAAGGCCTAAAACTCTGATATATTAAATTGCAGACAGAAAAATATTCACCTCTCTTACAGTATTTTATGCTTCCAATGACTGCTTGTGACATGCACTCATGGTCCTTTGGAAAATCATTTCTTACTCATTTATGTGCTGCCTCAATGCTTTACATACATAACTGTAAATTATTGTATTTTAATTTCACGTGGCCTGAAAGGATCTCAAACTTTTGGTATAAAACCTATCCACAAGGTTGGCCAATGGTCTTGGAAATGCTTGCTGTGCTAAAATTTCCTGACACTTCCAGGCCTTTCAAAACCACCATGAGACACATGAGTCCAGCTGATGTACTTGTCCTGTGACACCCCTGCAATGCCCCTTAGCAGATTGGAGCCACCTTCGAATATGTAATGTGCTCGCCAGGTATCTAACCCACAGCTGATATTACCACAAGTCATTAGACAAGGTCTTCAAATAAAGCAGCCATGGAGCCAGAAGCACAGACTAGGGCAATGCTGGAATCGTAAGGGACCTTTGACACCACTTAATCCAGTTGTTCATTTTCCAGGAGAGGAAACAGGACCTGCATGAGATGAGGTGGCCCAAAGTGGCCCAACCAACTGAAGGTTTTGTGGGGACTAAAATTGGACCTTCCAACTCCAGATTGATGCCTAGATGTCATGAGCATATTCTGTAAATCATCCCCAAATATTAGAAATATTAGACTGTTCAGTAACGATCAATCAAAATGCTGCAATGATTACATGCACCAAGTTTGAGTTTTCAGGTATGATAACATAGTAAGTTTTATACAATTTGAAACATGTATTTGAAAACTTTGAGGTAGAAATAACACTTCTTTATTGAAAAAAATTCTGGAAAACACAGATGAAAAAACCTGATATTTGTTGACACCTCAAAAACAGTCTACATATGTTACAGTAGTACATTTAGCTATTTTATGCATTTGGTTTTCTGCATACTTTCCAAAGTGTTCTAGAAGACAGCAATACTTTAAATGGAATCAGCTGGAGTTTTTAAAAGTATTTTAAGAAAATCGCAATCTTCTTTTGTCCTCTTGCATTCCAAGAGCTCTGATTGGTTAATATTCACCTTTGCTTGGTTCTTATCAACAAAAGCTAATGTTAGACTGAATTTAATGAACCCATCAAAACCACGAAAGAATTTTAACTTCCTCCAACATACTTTTTCTCCTTGTGTAAGAGGTAACACCTTCCATGTAGCAGATCATCTGAATAAGTGTGGGTTAAAATGGTCAATTGTGGCTCTGTGTCAATCATGTGGCTTTTCAAGCTAAAAAGAGGCTACCTGTCTCCTGGGAGAATGTTCCCAGGTTGGGACCTGTGTCCATCTCCAAATGGTCATACTGGGTTCAGAAACACTGAAAATGTCATAGTCACAGAGAGGTTTCCCTTCTACCTGGGGTTAGGGACAGGTGGAGATGGATATATTTTGTTGTTGTTGTTCTCTAGTAACATCCAACATGTGTTACCTGCTAAATCCTGTGTGAGCCCTAGACATCTCCATCGCCCCAGGTAATCTTCCTTGAGCATAGTGTTATGTTCATGGAGGGAAAGCTAAAAAATAAGCCTTAACCTACCTGTTGCTGCTTCTTCATAATACCTTCCCTTTTAGGGTGCTTCATATTTTTCAAAGAGCTTTCGTATGTATGTACACAATATGTACACATATATCACTTACAAAAGCTGGAGAAGCGATGTGAGAAGTAGAATTCTAAGATGACCTCCACAATTTCTGCCTGCTGGTGTCTATGCCCTCAATGTCCCCTCACTTTGAGAGTGGGCAGGACCTATAAATATAATGAGATGATCACTCCTGTGGTTGCAGTTAAGATTTTATCTTAGCGCACAAGAGAGATCATCCTGCTGGCTTTGAAGAAGCAAATAGCTTTGCTATAAAAGGCCCTGTGAGCAGCCCGGGTGGCTCAGCGGTGCAGCACCGCCTTCAGCCCAGGGTGTGATCCTGGAGACCTGGGATCGAGTCCCTGCATGGAGTCTGCCTCTCCCTCTGCCTGTGTCTCTGCCTCTCTCTCTCTGTCTGTGTCTCTCATGAATAAATAAATAAAATCTTAAAAAAAAAAAAAAAAAAAAAGCCCTGTGAGCAGGCCACATGGTGAGCGCAGGCCTAGTGCTCAGAGTGATCTCCAGTGGACAACTAGTGGACCTCCAGAACATGTGCAATAATAAAGGGCTGTTGTTTTAAGCCACTAAGTTTGTGGTAATTTGTTACGTATCAATAGGAAACTAATAAAAGCAAGCAAAGGTAAATAACACCATAGCCATTTCGCCAAGAAGGACACTGGTTCAGAAAGATGAACTGATTTGGTTAATTTTATTTTGCAGATTGGTGACAGGACTGATAGTGATACTCCTGGGTGCTCATTCACAGCCCAGCATTCCCTGTGCACCATAACGCTCCACACTAATGAGTATTACCAGTGGGTGTCCTTTACCCCTGTCCACCTACAAGATAGATACTTGAAAGCATATTATATGATCTTCCTCTATGCTGCTCAACACAGAGTAAAGCAATGATTTTATTATATCAGTCCTGGAGTATAGTAAAAACATTAATCAGGATCATAGCAAATGTTAAGTTGATGATATCTTTAAAGGCTCTCAAATCAAATGTCAATCCTCATCACTAAACAAACAGTATTCTGAGTAGTCAAGATCGGGAAACGCGATAGGTAATTCTACCCACTTTTTGTATTGTTTCTTTGATGTATTATTTTTGAAAATCACTACAAAATTCTTTATTTTGAGACAAGGCAAATCTAAGCCCTTGTGCACCATCATCGTTCCCCAGGCCTGAAAAACAAGAGAGTGAGAGGAAAAGTTAAATGCACATTCAATTAAGAATTCCTTTTGGCCGAAGTAAAAATAAAGCCCACAGCAATGTACTCACTTGGCCACACATTTTGCAGATGATCTCGCCATTTGTTTGATAGTCTATAAACTTCTTTCGTAGTGCTTTGTTTTCTCTCACAATGTAGAGTTCCCTAAAATTATCAAGAAATAACAAAATATCTCTGGGAATTTGCAGTGGACAAATATGCAGCCTGTGGGTACAAGCTGTTGGACCTGAAGCAAATCCGCAGGCATGCCTAGCCCACACCTTATTCCTTCTCTCCTTTTCCTCCTGCAGATCATCAGACAGATACCCCCTTTCCACACATACATCTCAGGGGTCATGTTGCCTTTGGTGGTTTCTTCCAAGTCTATTGATTATTTTAACTAGACTTAAGTTGTCCAAAATTTTGAGAACAAGTATCAGTATACACCAAACTGATGTACCTTGGACAAAATGGCTTTGGGTCTTACACTTCTCCTCCCTGCCTCAGTGCAATATAGTTGGAAAAAAAAATGATGTTTGACATGGGGCTATAATCTGGAGGCTAAAGGAGGGGAAATTCCAAAAAATAATGAGTCTCATTTGTGTTATTTTGGAAGAACATTCACAATACAATCTGCCTCACCTCTTATAAGGGAACTTAAAATTGAGTCTTCCGGGACTTACTTGAATACTGGTGTCATGTTGACATGGTGCATCTTCTCAATAACGTGGATATCTTCCCCAGAGCAGGCTAGGACACTGCAGTTTTTGCAAAGGAAATTTATTAATGATGGGTTTTCCTTGTAACACTTTGCAACACTTCTCTTGATTTTCATTTTCTTTTCCATGATACTTTGCATCTGTAGTTCCAAAATCTGCATTGAGAAAAAAAAAAAGTTTATTATTTTTTTTCTTCACAGTTTGACTGAAGTAAGTCTCCTGGAATTCAGAGTTCTTAGATAGTTATGGAAATGTATACCTGGCCATAGCCTAGAAATGAAAATAATGAGGTGATTGGCCCCAAAGAATTTAGCATATAATGCCTCCCTGTGGGCATGGAAATGTAGAACCTTCAGATGCTCCGAAAATAACCCATTCCATTTTAGACAAGTTCTGTAGTGAGAAAGTGCTTGGCAATATCCCAGAGAAAAAAACCTCACCCCCTAACCTCTATCACCATTAGTTTTAATTCTGTCTCATAAAATATGTCTAAATCTGCTTTTACATAGAATCTCTTTGAAGAACATTGTTATTATATTACCAATAATCTTCTCTTACCTGTGATAAGCCCCCCCCAGTTTCTTTAAGCTTTTCTCACACATTATAATTTCTAGACCCCCTTGCTATCTTAGTCAATCTCCTTTTTACACATTTGTGGCAGAAACTACTGGTTTCCCACCCAGTGTCCATTCTTCCTGGAAACAGAACTATAATTTCAACTAAATGACTACATTTCCAAGCTAATGACCAATGAGACATAAGATGTTACATAGAATTTCCAGAAAGTCTCCTTAAGTATCAGCTGCCATTTCCACTTTTTGCCTTTTCCATCTTCTTCCTTCTTCCTGCCTCAAATGAGCAAGTGATAATTTAAATTCAAAAAACTCTTTGACTTGGATAATGGAAACCTAATACTAAAAGGGCAAGAGAAGAGTCTTGGCTTCCTCACATCATCATGGAGCTATCATATGGGTCCAGATTGTCCACATTTTTTATGTGAGAATAAGTCCTTAAGCCCCTGTATTGCAGGCTCTGCAGTTAGTGGCAACATTTATTTAATAATAGAAACAATGGAAAGACACAAACCTTGAGGTAGGCACTGGCCAGTTCTCACACCTATACAACTTCATATTTACTTCCAAACTGAACCTCTCACAGATGGAAAATTTATACTAACTTGTGGAGGAAGCCATTGTTTTCCTGAAGACTGAGGGGAAGTTTTAGTAAATGTAAACTCTCAGTGCTGATGAACAAAGTTGAGTGGCCCACCTTTGGCGCTCACCTCTGTTTTGGGCTTTGATTCAAGACAGCCATATTTAGTACAGAAAAGAAAACTAAACCTTGTGAGCAATCTATGGGCCATGGAATGCCTTAATCGGACAAGTACAAAAATCAATGTCCTCTGTAAATGGTAACAATAAAAAAAAATGAAGTATTATGTTTCCTAAACTTTAATTAGGTTGTACTTGCAAGATATTTATAATTCAGTGAGCTGATAAAAGATGATTTGGCATAGGACCATATACATGGTGGGTAATCAAGAAACACCTATATGTGTGACAGAAAAGATAAAAATACATCTAAGGTTAGTGTACAGATATGTAAACAGGACACCAGGAACTAAAGGACTGGTTCTAGAATAATAAAGAATATGAATCAAAAAGAAAGGCAAAAAAATAAAACAAAGCATAGTACAGGAGGCACAGTACAGGCAGTCAAAGTCTAAATAAAATGTAATGATGTGGGAAAAGTTGTTGAGTCATTGTTAGGGAAAATGTTTAAAATCTTCACATTGTTTCTAGAAGTTTGATTTAGAGGTTTTCAGTTAGGTACAAATTCTGTATATGACATGGAAAACACACTTCACCTTCTACGTCAATGCTCACCATTTATTAGTGGCTGCCTGCAAACTGTGTTGAGAAGGATTCTTAACTCAGGAAAAGGAAGAGCTGGGACCTAGTAGCGATGTCTACTGTACTGATGTCTGCTGAGGGAGCCGAACTGAATAGTAGTGGAATGTGCCCCCACATCATTGCCATCCCTGCTCTGAGTTTGTCAGCCTGGAGTTAGCTTTAGAAGGGCAGGTCTCTTAGCCAAAGGAAACCTAAAAAGATTGTCGATTCTGGGGCCCCGAAAGAGACTGTATCTTATTATAGATATAAGCTGGAAAATTTTGACTCATAAACTCCAGGGACGGCCTAGAGCTTACCCAAAACACTTGATCTCGAAACATCGGTCTTTGAAAATATCCACTTGAATAACTTTCCAGTGACATTATTTGGCCACAGATGTTTGATTTGACATTACCAAATGTTTGGTTTGCCTTATATTTAAGGGGGTTTTAAAATACAAGTTTGTGTAGAAACCTGGCCAGGAAACCTTGGAGTTGGTTATAGCAATGCACACCAATTTAAAAGCATCCCTTTCGTGAAACTCTATTTAGGGTAGAGCCAATTCCAATGTTAAGAAACTAACATTCACACCCATATGCAAGGGTGTGAATTTTCTTCTAAATGGATTGTTTGCTATTATAGTAGTTACAGTCTTTAATTCAGTGGTATGGGGGATTTCCTGAAATATTGTAGAAGTGCATTCTTCCCTCACTGCATTCCTCTTGCAGCTCAAATGAGCATTAGTAAATTGAGATGCAGCTAGATGACATATTATGTATTTTCTTATCATTCAGATCTAGCCTCAATGTTACTCCTCCTACAAGACTTTCCCCAAATACCCAATCTATAGAGTACTCATCTAATGACTTGTTTCATATTGTCTTATTCTAATTCTGTAGCATTTATCCTTATGTGATACATTTCTTGCTTCAGTTTTGCTTATTGTTTCTCCTCCTCAAATCTCATTATGTATACTCTAGAATGTAAGCTTCATACAGGAGGGTTCTATCTGTGTTGTTTGCTGCCATGTTCTCTCTTTCTAGAATGTTACCTGGCACACAGTAGGCACTTCATAAATATTTCTGGAATGAAAAACTTGTGCCCATACAAACAGATTGCACCAAACCAAAATTACCAGGTTGGCTTGAATGGGTGAGCTATACTAGTCTTTCTGATCAAGGACAGACTAAATTTATATCTTCAAAGTTTATGGTTGGTTTCACTAGAACAGCAGTCTGACAATTTCTGCCCTCATCGGTCCTAATTCTTTGTATGTGAATCTGGATTAAGCATGGCTCATCCAACTGGAACTTAAAATTTAGCACAATTTCTGTCTTGAGACTTAGCCACAAAGCTATCAGCGGCAACCACATGCAGACTCTTTAAAGTGAAAAATTCAGAGAGGTCCAAAAACAATACCTTACGAGCATACTCCTCTGGATTCATATTTTGAACATGGTCTATAGCTTTATACATCATTTTCTCTCGGAAATCATTAACTATCTCACGTTCGATAACCCCTGAGTTACTGTGGGCAACCAGGACGTAGGTGCTCTCATCAGCTCTGGCTCGACCACGGGCCTGAGAAAAATAAAGAAATCAAGTTAATGAAGGGTCATGTCTTTCTGTGAATGCTCTCATTTTTGGCCTGGAATGGTATTCAATGCTCAGTGTCCCAGTCTTCAAGTAATTTCTCTATTGTCAGTAATGTTAGTTATTACCCATTTTTTATAAGTCAGTTATTTGAAATTCAAACTGCACTATAATGAACAAACAATGTTCTAGAGCAATGATGGTTAGGTTACCACACCATCCTTCAAGACCCCCAGTTACACAAGACCAATCTGGAAACTTCTCTCAATCCTGGAAACTTCTCTCAATCCTAAAAGCCAGCATCATTGATTTGGACTGGGGAGGCACTCCTCCAGCCTAGTAGGAGGGATGGATAGAAAGAAGGGGCATCTCTGACCTTGACACTAGAGTTGTTGAGAAAGCAGGTCTGCTCCTGGTATCTATATTGGATTTTGAGCACATTTCCCATGAAAACATGCTTAACATGGTGATAAATTTCTATAGTCCCCTTTAAAAATTGACATTTAGGTACATTTTGAGTAACAGAAAATATGGTCTTAACCAGGAACCTAATGACCAACTATAACACCATCTGTATAAAAATGTATTTGGTGTAATAAACTGCTAACAAAGTAACTCTTGAAATACAATTACTTCCTAATTTGGTGGCTATCTGGTTATCTTAATATTCCATGACTTGTTTTCCAGTCAAGAAAGCAATTTTATATATTTTAAAAAGAGATTTTAGTTAATGATATAGGAGGAATATTATTGGCATTAACCAGCACAAATCCCATACATGCTCAATGAAAGGTAACAATTATATTGTTAAGATAGTAAGAGGTAAGAGGTAAAGCGAAATTAAATGGAAATTAGTATACTTCACTTTTGTTTTATATGTATAACTATGCCTCCCCCAACTTCTTATGATGAAAATTTTCAAACACAGAGAAAAATTGCAAGAATAGGGAGGAAAATGCAGAAATAGCAGGGTTCCCAAACTTTTGAGCATATTACTTTGTCAGACATTTTAGGGACACTGCTCTTCAGATTTCTGGTCCAGCTGGGAGCTCATAGACATCCTAGGAATTAGGAGGCCTCGTCAACTCTTATAGATGGGCCAGTGTCACATTTCTGAAGAGTCTTGGGACACAGAAATAATAACCCAAGAAGAGTTGTTTGGGAATACGACAGTTATCTGTCATCATCATCTGAATTAAACAACAGCATAAAAGGCAGTAGTGTGCAGCTCTTCAAGATTTCTTCTTCTTTTAATTGAAGTATAATTGACATGTAACACTCTTAGTTTCAGGTGTGCAATGTAATGATTTGATATTTGTATACAGTGCAAAACGATTTCTCCTTTAGAAGGAGAATAGATACATTTTAAAAATGGTCTGTGCTGCTTTGCTAAAAGAAAACAAACTAATAACACAAAATCAAAAATCAAGTTATTAGAGGTATTAAACATACCTGGACCATGGCTATTTCATTAGTGACGAGACCATAACGGATGACGATATTACATTCTTTAATATCCAGACCTTCTTCTGCCACTGTGGTAGCGATAAGCAGATTTATTTTTCCTGTGCGGAATTTACTAATGACTTCTTTTTGTTCATTCTGTAGAAACAGTTTAATAAATTAAATTTTGTGATGCTAAACACATTAAAATCTTCTAATTAGCAGAAGAAATAATAAATTGCAACTGGTCAGTGCAAATCAAAGGATTAGATCATACACGGATTCACTGCCATCTGTTTTTGGCATTGAACAAAGACATGATGGTGAGACAACATTTGATTTCCAATCTGGGATTACCACACAATAACAAAAATATTTCCATCATCCAGTCTGGAAGTGGGAAGACCATCATTTATGCCAAGGAAATAAACTGATGGATGACTTGGGAGGGAGAAAAAAAGAGATGCTTTCAGTGGAGAAGAGGGTCAAGGCGATGAGAAACTAGAATGGGCTGTGATTTTCACTATGTTAACTTCAGAATTGTTAATATCCAGAAAATGAGATTCGGGGACACTTTTTGAGATCATTGAATTATGAGTCACAGAAAAAATAACACACTCTATGCCACATTTGGTCACTATAACAGTCACTCAAGTGCGAAACCTATGGAATATGTCTGGAAGGACATGTGAGAAACCAAAAACATTGGCTTTCTCCCAGGAGGGAGCAAGAAGGCTGGAGAGCACTGGTGTGTCCTAAAGCTCATTAATTCTGAAGGAGGTAAATATATTATGTGTTCAGAGAGAAGAGTAAATAAAAATGAAATAACAAGTTATTCAAAACAGACTTTTAAAAACTATAATTCAATGAAAAAACTCTGAATTTTCAAACTTAATATAAGTAAAGAAATAAAACAAGCACTCTGGTCCTTGCATAGGATGAATGGGTGAGCATAAACTTAGCCTGATATGGCAAGTGTGGTTTTGTTCTTAGAACCACTCTCATCAAAACTGTTGTTCCAGTCGGCCTGTACAGATTTCTGTTATGTTTTATCCCCAAACATTAAACAAAAACATTAAACATTAGACAAAAATAAAAATAAACATGTCAGACCAAGAGTGTGTCCTCCCACCCTCTTCCCTTTCTTCTTAGAGGTGGTGTTTTTTTTTTTTTTTTTTTTTTTTTTTTTTTTTGAGTCCTAAAGGCTGGAGAATTCTGCAGAAAAGCCTCTCTCCAGTCTTCTCTGATAATTTCTCCCTCTCGCACTCATGTCCACTGATAAAATCTTCTATGCCTTTGGATTTCAGCAGAAGTGTCTGCTATTCAAAAAAGTAACTTTAGGAATGCCTGGGTGGCTCGGTGGATTAAGTTGGGCCTGTGCTGGGCTTCCTGCTCAGCCAGGAGTCTGATTCTTCCTCTCCCTCTGCTCCTCCCCCAGGTCATGCTCTCTCTCTCTCTCTGTCTCTCTCTCTCTCTCTCTCAAATAAATAAATAAAATCTTTAAAAAAGAGTAAATTTAATAATGAGAGTTTCAGACACAGAGTTAGACCCTCAAATCACATCAAATAAATGCTGACTCCCTCTTCCAATGAGTAAGACCAACTCTGTTCACAAGGAGAGGATGTGGGGCATAAGAAAAAGGTGTGTTCTATATTTTGGCAAGTAGCCCCCAAATCTGAAGGAGCTAAGGAGCAAAAAGTAGTTTGACAACATACTTTCCTTTTGTACCTCACCTCTTTTCAAAGCGGATCTGAGGCCACGTATAACCAAAGTTATAACACTAAAGCTAATATAATAGAAACTCAAAAACGGGAGTAGAAGAATATAGATGTACTACTTATAAGAATTAGCATAGAGGCAGAGAGACTGAACTTCAGTTTTGCCTGTGAGCTTCCTGAAAGCTATGGCAAAAAGGAAACAGATTAAATAAACTGGCTCTCATCACAAAAGAGAAAATAAGCTCCTTACCCAAGGAAAGCAATGCTTTCTTTCTCTGGTATAAATTTTAGAGACAACTCTAACTGAGTATGTGCAGTAAGTATATTGCATAAAAATTCAAGAATGACTTTTTCTTCAGTAAATCCTAAAACAGATTTAATTTCCTCCATTGGACTGAATTTTGATGAGTATGATAGAATTGGAGTATCCTCTTGTCTAGCAAGACTCAAGGTCAATATGACTTCAGAACATTTTATTCTAACAAGCCACGCTTATAATGTCTACAAGTGTCTTTTTTTCTCTCCCATGGGTTTTATTGTGCACATGATAAGTAGTATAATGAAACGAAAACAACACAAAACAAATCTTAACAAGGAAAAGAAAATCACTTATAGTCCCAAATCTCTAACACATGAAATGTCTTCATTTTTCCAAGTTGCCTTACAGATCTCATCCTATGCAAACATATTCTACATTTTTCTAATTATAATGCACATATTTTTGTTGGGATTTGATTTTTCCACTTGATATTATATCGTAACCATTTTTCCATTTTGTTACTAAGTCTAAATGTCAATCATTTTTGCAAAGGAAACTCAATTTTGAAGGTTCCTCCAAGTATATGAAAGAAGTGACTTCTAACACAATTCTTAGCTTATCAGACATCACAGATTAGATTGCTAATAAACTCATATTTTAAGAACAAATGTTCCATTCCATAAAATTATTTGTGGGTAAGAGAATTGCAGGGCAAGACAATTGATGGAAAAAAGACTACAACTAAGTTGGGAAGAGTAATAACAGAATAAGGGAAGAAGTAAAGAAGGGTGTTTTCACCTGTGTCATGGGCTTGAACTCACTGCTGTGTCCAGCTCCAATTAGATGATGGGCTTTGACTCCTACCTCTGCAAATTTTTTATTTTCAGTAATCCACTGGGAAAGGGCAAATGCACTCTGTCGTGTTTTTGTGAAAATTATTCCTCGGGCCGGTTCCTCAGTCCTTGTAAATTGTTCCATTATGGTGTTTCTTAATTTGACCAGCTTTTCATTTTCATGTTTTGGGTTTTGAGCCAGCTTTTTCAACATTCTCTTGTTTTCTTTAAGAAAGAATTAGTTTGAATTATAAAATATGTGAATAAATTACACTGGGAGACTTTATGTAATGAGATACGAATATGTAGTTGAACTATAGTTAATCTTATGCTGTATCTAATGATCAGGCTAGCTTAATAAATAAAGGTATTGCAGTCTTGTTGACAATAAAACCAGATGACCAACTGACTGATTCTGAGTATATAATTCATGGCTTATCTGAGCTCATCAATTAGAAAGAACTCCAAAATGATTGGGATTTCTTCTTTCAAAATAAAAGATGATTTTAAGAGGGCCTTTTGGAGAGCTCTTGAGAAGCAACAGGCTCACACTCTGAGGCAAATGCACGAGAGTATAAAATCAACATAACATTCTTACCCCAAAATAACTCCATGAGAAATCTATCTGTCCTATCCAGTCTCAAAGGTCTCTTTTCATCATCCTCAGCTTCATCACCATCACCGTCACCATCCTCACCACTCTCATCACTATCACCTTCTTGGACTGCAAACTTCTTCTCTGTCTCATCATTATAGAAAGCTTCAAGGTGATTATATGCATCAATCGTTCGAATTGTATCATTAATTTGTAGGGCCTCATTGTACTTCTTCAAATGCTCTGCACAAACACGGTCTTTTCGATTTCCTTCTCGTGCAGCTATGAAAGAATACATTACATAGAGTGAAATAATGGTAGAACACATCCCTGAAAATTGTGCTGTGGACTTGAATACGTCTATGATACGACTCTAAAAATAAGCTTCATGTTGTTTTTGAGATGGGCCTCCAAATGTGCCTCCAGCTCTAAAAGTTTTCCAACCCCTAAACTGGCATCCTGAGCTCTGTATCAGCAAGAATAGAGTCCTGATCCATACTGACTCAAAGAATGGCATGAAAAACATTGCGGTTGAGTTTGCATTTGGAGGCAGAGACTAATATCTATCTTAATATGTTAAACATACAATAAGTGAAAGACTCTGGAAATAAAGAGAAAATTAATGGATTGCTGCTTCTTTCCTTAGATAAGGGATTAGAACATGTTCATCCTTGTACTACTTCAAACACAGAAATTCCATTTGATATTCCATTTGCTTTCAGTTTGGTTGAGAATATATGACACATCCATCTGAAATCTTGGCATGAACTTGGAATAAACGAAGTGTTAGGTCAAAACCCAAATTACCTTTTTTTTCCATTTGAATGGTCCATTGTTCATAGGGTTGAGTTCCAAAATCTGACATTGGACTCATTTGGCAAAAACTTTGAATCTTGTTCATTATTTCTAAAAGTTTATCTTTAAATGGATCCTAAAAATAAATTATACACTTATTCTTACATGCTCATATTATTAAAGAAATAGCATTATCTTTGTTAAAATAACTCCCATGTTATAATAAATTTAATTCAGAATCTTTGGTCTAGACAAAGTAACAAGTTAATTCCTGACCATCTCTTTGTACATTTATTTTTCAGTAATCCATCCTTAAGCCATACATATGCCAACATCATTTACTGCTGCTAGAATTTCCCTTTTAAAAGTTTTACAAAAATAAAATTAAAGAATAATATGCACATTGAGTGCTAACAATAATTTTAAATGTATTTATTTTTATATATAGTAAATATTAATTATTTAAATTATATCATTAATTATATAAGTATTAAATAAATAAATATTTTTTAAAAGATTTTATTTATTTATTAATGAGAAACAGGGAGAGAGAGGCAGAGACACAGACAGAGGGAGAAACAGGCTCCATGCAGGGAGCCCGATGTGGGACTCAATCCCGGGTCTCAGGATCAGGCCCTGGGCTGACGGTGGCGCTAAACCGCTGAGCCACCCAGGCTGCCCCAATAAATATTTATATATTAAAGCAATGCCCTAGTTATTTAGAAAGCCTACAATGTAATTTCATAAAAATTACCTTTTGAAGAACTGGTTTCAGTATTATTTTTACTAAAGTAGAAAGTTAAAAGGTAGGCTTGTATTGAGCACCAGGTAATGTGTGTAAACGTTGAATCACTATATCGTACACCTGAAACTAATATAATGCTGTATGTTAACTGGAAATTTTTTTAAAAGTTAAGAGATAGAGTTTTAAATGCACTCTTCTTCAGTGCATACTATATGATTTCACTTTTAAGTTCAAAATCAGTTAAAATCCATCTTTGGTGTTAGAAGACAAAATAGTAGTTATCTTTGGGGGCTAAGTGACTAGAAGGAGGAATGAGGGGTTTTGGGGTGCTGAAAATGTTTTATCTCTTGATTTGGATTTTTATTAAACAGGTGTATTCATTTTATAACAATTCAGCAATCTGTACATTTATGAAGTTGTACCTTTCTGTATGTCTATTATACTTCAATAAAAAGTATATCAAAATTAAGTTAAAAGGTAAGATGGCAACTTCTTTTAAAAATATATCCCGAGGATTCTGTGGAAGTTTTAAAAATGATTATGAGTAGAAACATACCTTTAAATTTATTAAGTAAAACTAAATAACAAAAAATGAAGGATAATAAAGTATATTCAAATGTTCTAGTTCAGCTGGAATAGATAGGAGTCATCTTCAGAACTTCAAAAAAATTAATCTATGGAGATTGGTCTGGTTTAGTGCCTACTACATTTCAAATACAATATTGTCTATTATACATATTTCATGTCACTTAATCCTAACATCCTTTGAGGTAGATTTTTAATGATTACCTTTATTATCAAGTACATAGAACTAAAATTTATCATGCTTTTTTATATTTTACAAAAGAAAGTACTGCCATAACACACTGGTCATAATGTCCAAACTAACTCAGTGGTTTTTATAATCAGTGAAAATACTCCTTGCAAAAGCACCATTAAAGTAAATATTTTATTTCTTTACTGTGTCAGCATGCTTTTAAGAAAGTAAATATGCAGATTATTAGGATTCCCATTATTATTACCAACTGTAATCTGGTAGAAACAAAATGGTTCTGTGAAATGTCAAAAAAAACAAAAAACCCACAGGCCTGAAATTCACCAAGAAAGTAAAAAGAATAAAATAAACTACAGTAATCCCTCTAGTTTAGCAATATAACTCTCTCCACCCTTACCCCCATGGCCCACATGTAGTCAAGCCACTTTTCATATAAACCGGAAAACTAAAAGAAGCCTGAAAGGGAGAATTCACAGCAGTGTTTTGTTGCTTAATAGTAATAATAAAGAATAAAACTGTAACTTATTTTGCTAAAAATTTAAGATAATATTCTTCAGAAGGTATAAAGTAATCTTTGCATTTTTCAGTTGAGTATGGTATTCTCAATCTAATAAACATAAAATTTTAAGTACATACTTCTCTGGTGTCATCTGCGATTGCAAACTTTTTACATGGCTCTTTCATTTGGCTTTTGAGTTGATTGATATTTTCTTTCACAGTTATAATGGTACATGCATCGAGATTGGCACATATCTGAAAAAGAGATTTTTTTTAATATTCAAATATTTACTTTTCCTTTTCAATTGATTCAATGTAGAAACATTTTCATGTAATAAATAGGGACCACGACTAATTAAATACAGCATTTTAATATCGCTTTACTGTGGATCTGCTAAACCAACACATCTATCTCGATGGACTCAAAAGAAGCTTCTAAGTTTTGTCGGTGTATAATTGCAGAAAAAGAATTTTCATTCCTTAAATATTTTAATTCCTTAAAATATTTTCATTCCTTAAATTCCATTTGCCAGGTGGAAAAACTGACATGGAAACAGTGTAGCAAATTACAGAGATCAGTAGAGAATGGTTATGAGATAACCATATTACATAAGACATTTTAAAGGTCAGCTTGACATCCTTGGATCAGATTACCACCCTCTTCTACACATAACGAGGACAATGTAAAGCTAGGAGCAGCCAAAGCCAGGATGTGCCTGGATCTAAACTGATGTTAGTCCTTAATCCCATAATAAATTCCCAAATATCTTGGAACAAATAATTGTGCCTATGTCTGAATTTCACTGAATTCAACTTAAAGTAAGGGACTCATAATATAATATAATATAATATAATATAATATAATATAATATAATATAATATAAACACAGTTGCCTTTGTGCTAACACATTTCTTGGGTTACTCTGAATTGACATAACACTCAAAATCAACAATAGTACTTCATGTGGTGTTATCATTTGGGGTCAGCTGACAACCTCGACTAAAGATTCTCATATCCGTTTTGTCATTTAATTTGAATTACCCAGAATCTGAGAATCACACAGAACAAAAAAGGCACAGAAGAAAATATGCAATTTTGAAACTAATGCAGTATTTTGAAAATTAGAAATTTTCACAGTTTGTGCACATTTCTGTATCAGATGGATCATCGAGTTTAACAACATGAGTAGATATTTAAAATAAGGTATTTCATTTGTCCCAATTTTTCATTGATTATATCTACACTCCATAATTTTTGTGATATTTTTCTGTGCCATAGTAATTTATTAAGGCATATTACTGTTTTGTAGAAGATTGAATATATTTACTTTAACTAAAACATATTCATTTCCCTTAACTAATGATTACAGAATACCTTCTTTCTCAATGGCACTTGGACTTAATCCTACTCAAAAAGCCCAAAAAGCCGTGGTATTTGCTTTAGGGTTCGTTATTGTTGTTGTTGCTATCATCGTTACATATAAAGTCAATGGCTTACTTTTAAAATGTGTTGCTGGGCTTCAGCTTGCCTTTTGGCTACTCCAACACCTGGTGAAGCTGTTAGTCCTAGTATCTGAGGTAGAGGAATCACTGGTTTGTATTCTTTCTTGAGTTTATTATTTTTCAACTTCTGTTTCAAGTAACGTCTCATGATGTTATTATAGACTGCTTCTTTGTTCGTGTGATGACATTCGTCAATGATGATAAGGGTAAAGTCTTAAAAGAAAATCCAAGTAGTTCATTTGTCCATACCAGCAAGGTAGAGTGAAAAGAACCTTAAAGCTAGTAAACTGGGCTGCTATGGGACATCCTTTAGTAGCTAGTAAACTGAGCTGCTCATCCTTTCTTGAGCAGAATATGGCACAGACCTCTTAATTCTTAAGCAGACAATGTCTATGCTAGTCATCTGTAAATCCAGAGGCCCATGCATATTAATTATGAAACTATTCTTGTTAGATATTATCCCTATTGAAGAGATTAGCTTTGGAAAATTTATAACGGTAGTAAGTTTTACGAGATAGAATTCAATCCCTGCTTTGTTCCCCCCAAATTAGTCAGGATTACACTTGTTCTTTAATAAAACATTCAATTTTAAGTTGATGAGGGTTTTTTTATGCCAGATAAAAACCATTCAATTTAAACAGAGATCACTTTGCTTTGTTTTAACATTGCATTTAATTATTAGAAGTATTATAATGACTATATTCCTTTCCCTTTCTCTCACTTTTTCTTCCCTCCCCCCACAAAATAAAAAAGATTATATTTCATTCTAAGGAAATGATGGCATATCTAACAGTATCCATTAGCATATGAAAATAACTTGTTGGTATCTAGAAATAAAGAATAATAAAAAGTCCAGTGGGTGCTTGATTTAATAATGTATTCTTATGTAAATAAAGTGATCTAATTAAAAATGTATCTCATTTTTGTGTATCTCCAGGAAAGTAAACAGTTTTAAGGAAAACTTAAGCAATGAAAGATGATCTATGGGATGCCTGGGTGGCTAGCAGTTAGGCACCTGCCTTAGGCTCAGGGCATGATCCCGGCGTCCAGGATTGAGTCCCGCATCAGGCTTCCTCCCACATGGAGCCTGCTTCTCCCTCTGCCTGTGTCTCTGTCTCTGTCTCTCTCTCTCTCTCTGTCTCTCATGAATAAATAAATACAATCTTAAAAAAATTATCCTATGAGAAATCATCTTTTTATTTTTGTTTATTGTTTTAAATTAGGCTCCACACTCTGCATAAAGCCCAACATGGGCTTGAACTCATGACCTTGAGACAAAGGGCTGAGCCTAGATCAAGAGTCGGACACTTAACCAACTAAACCACCCAGGCACCTGTAAATCAGAGATAATATTTTTAAATCAACATTTTGAAAATTATTTATCTACTACAGCCTCTGTAACTATCATCAATATTACTAATTCTTTTTTTTCCAACTTCAACCAACCTGAAAATTGGACACCATCATCTTCTCCTTTTTCTGAGTTTAAAAGGGAGTTTTCAAGGATTTGAGCTGTACTGATGATAACATCATAGGTTTTGACAACTTCTGGAAATGATATTTTCAATTGGGTATCACCACTTAATCCAATAGTATGATACCATTTCTTCAAAAATGGTTCAAACTCTTTGCGGAAGAGCTGTTCAACTAGTGGTACCTTTAAAAATGCCAAAATTAAAGAGAGAGAGGGCATGGTCAGAGGAAAAAAAAAGTACCAATTAAAGGCCTAGTATGTGCCAAGCCTTATCAGAAGTGTTTACATTATCAGTTAACTAAGCATAACAAACTATCAATCATTACATTCATTAATTTATCAATAAGCATTTATTGAATGCCTATTAGGTGTAAACATCATATCTGAAACATAAAGATGTTTTAAGACATAGCTGACAACTTTGAGGAACTAGGTCTAGGTGAGCACATAGGGTAAGAGTAACCAACAGAAACCCACAAATTATTAAAACACATGTGATAATTCTCCCACAGAAATACAAAGTGACCGCAAGGAGGCAGAAGTAACCGAGTACTCCAAAGATGAGTTTAGATAGAATTTTAATCTAGTAAGCCATGGGTCAGTGACAAGATAAATGAAAACCAAACCTGGATAAGAGATAAATTCTGAATTAATAGGTCAGGGCCAGGCTATAAAGGGCTGTGAATACCATGCAGAATATTTTAAATTTAGTATTATAGTTCATAGGACCCTTGTGAGTTGTGTTTGGTGTTGATTTTTTCCTGTAGTTTGTTTTGGAAAGGGGCCAGAGGCAACATGCCTAAAAAACTGAAGGTAACAGAGAACTAAAAGTGAGGAGGTAAGATACTGCCGAAGAGAGCAGATGTGAGATGAAGGGATAGACCATTAAAATAGCTTTGATAGCTAACAAAGAACAAAAGGGCAGATTGGCAAAATAAGTGGAAATCTTTCAGACATGACTGGCATTATGTTGTCGGAGTATGTTGGCATTGAAGTTACTTAACGTGATGGCGATTCACAATATCTTTGCATTCACTGGGCAGTCAAAATAAAGGTCTTCATAAAGATCCTGACCTGCAAGACCATCACCCTGAAGATGGAACCCAGCGAGAATGTGAAGGCCAAGACCCAGGATAAAGAAGGCATGCCCCCTGGCCAGCAGAGGTACATCTTTGCAGGCAAGCAGTTGGAAGATGGCCACATTCTTTCTGGTTACAACATCCAGAAAGTGTCAGCCCTGTACTTGGTCCTCTGTCTGAGGGATGGCTATTAATTCTTCAGTCTTGCATTCACACTCCCCAGTGATGGCATTACTCTGCATAATGGGCATTTACCCCAACTTAAGTTTAAAAATCACCAGTTTCAGTAAAAGCTCAATCTGTTGAAATTTTAACAAAGGTCTTGTTGCATGAAAGTAAAATAAAATCCTTTTAGCTGGATCTCTGTATGTCATAGTATCTGCAGAAGGTGGTTGAGTTGACACTTCAATGCTACACATTACTAGTCATATAGAATACCACCCAGATCAGGGAAAGGAATAACCAGGATATCTTGAAGGTTATATCCTAGGAGAGTTTTTACCATGGAAGCCTAGGGATATACAGTGTGGCAAGAAGAGAGTTGGCAGAAAGAGTTTCAAGGAAAAGCATCAAAGAGTAAGCATTATACTCATAAGTACCAGATAATATGATCAGTGGTTATCTTTCCACTGGTCTGCAGAACATGTGTTATTCATCTTTTTCCTTGAGGAGAGCCCCATTATGTGTAAAATGAGGGCTGGCTGATACCTCTGGCTGAGAACAGTGTACAAAAAGCAATACTTTGTATCACTGTTTAATATAAAAATGAAGTCATCGAAGGGTGAGTGTGGACCCACTATTTTCTTGAAATGACTAGATTCTATTTTACTCCTTAAAGTGAGGACCTAAAATTAATAACCAACTTTGGTAAGTCGGAGAAAATAACACAAGGTGAGAAAAATAAGAAGAGAAACTTTCTGTTAGTGTTTTGGGGCTTTTGTTTTTTGTTTTTGTTTGTTTTTTGTCAAAGTCAAGTCTTTGGTCCATCTGCACAAAATCATTTGAGATATTTGGAAAATACAAACTCCTGGGCCTCATCAAAAGGCCACTGAATCTAGCGATCATCTCTAGGGACACAACTTTGTAGGCACAACTTGCACTTATATGAAAGCTCTCATGTGACAATAAATCTTTAAAATGTGAGAACCGCAGCTCTTCTTTCTCTTACACAAAGTCATTGCTGACATATCTTTCTAGAACTATTCTTTTTCTTCTACTTACATGAGACAGAGGAAATCATCTGAGGAGGGAGTAAGAAAGACTCTGAAGAAGAGAATGAAAATTAAGCTTAGTGGAAAGAGCAAGATCCAGAGGAGAGAAAGTTAGCCCTAAAAACTACTCCAGCCACTTGGTTATTATGTGTCCTTGGACAAGTTACTGATCATCTCAATCATTTCAATTTCCACATCAAAAAATGAGAATGTTAACAATCAATGGTAAACTACTGATAACACTGTTGTGAAAATTAAATAAAATATAAGCTGTCATTTTTCTGGTCCTCAGAAACTTTCCTGATATTTTTCTGATTCTTTTATTCCAGTACAGGGGGGAAAAAAAAGGCCAGTTGACTTCAGAAGATAATGGTTCAAGTTTCAGCTCAGCTGCTTATTGGAAGGATGAGCCCTGACAGACCAAATAAAGCCTCAGAGCCCCAATTTTCTGAGGAGTAAAATGACAATAATTATGGTTACCTCATAGAGTAGCTGTGTAGATTTAGTGAGATACAATAAAAATAATTAATACTGTATCATGAACTATAATGCAATATTAATAATTATATGATTAATATACATCTCTCATTTCTTAGATTGTAGATTCCTGAGAATAGGATCTGTCTTTGATTTGTCTTTAAATACCCTCATGCTGCTGAATGATTTAAGAATCTCTATACCATGGGGTGACATAGCAACCTGGGGTTCAGCCCATAAAGGATAAGTCAAGACCTTCCAAAGAAGCAGCATCTTCTGGCCTACAGAACAAAAATAAGTTTTCACAGGAGGTAGCAGGTGTTGGAAATCCTGATACTCACTCTGGGTGGCGTTGACTTCCTACTGAAGGACACAGAGAAAGCCAGATGCAAGTCTGACATGGCTAATTGGGAGGTGTGTGGTCCTCTTGGAGCCTTTTCCTGAGATGTGACAGAGTGCCTGCCAAGACTAATCAAACCCAACTGCTACCCACTTCTGCTGAATCATATGGGGCTGCATTATAGCATCTGAAGGAACCTGGGATTTATCTCTCGTGATGTTGAAGCCCTAGATAGGAAATAGAAAGTCTGGGAACACAGGTGGTGTTTTCATTTCTCCCTGCATTTGAAGGCGATAACTTTGGAAAGCATGGAGGCAGGGAGATGAAAGTAAATGATGTTAGAGGGGACAGGATTTCTCTTTTCGAGATCAAGGGTTACGATGCCATCTATTAGGCCAAATATAAACCTAAGGTTATGTGACATAGAGGACCAGAGATTTCCTGACTCAGTCGAAGAGAACTGAAGCTCAAGTTACTTTAAAATGGAAAGAAATGGGATGATAAAGTAAACAATTGTGATATATATGGAAGAACTAGTGGAGGGATTTCTAGTGATTCTTAGGGAAAAATACCAGAGAAGCAGATGATGAATTAGACTTACGTCCTTAACTGTCTCCATAACATTGCAGTGAAAATGAATAATTAATGAGGATAATTTAACATTTAAACATGGCTGCAAATGTGGATTTGTAAGAATCACCTCAATCCAATGAGATGAAAAATTCATGATGAGCATACAACATCGAGAGGAAGAATCATTATAAGAACAAGGTGCGTTAGATGTATACAAAAACCTGAGGCCTGCGAGGATCAATCAACATACATAAGATGAAGAAATGAATGTAAGTATTTGCATTTAGGCTCAAAAATTAACTGCACAAAAATAACTTAAAAGAATTCTAGTTTAACAGATTTTCAGACAAAAAAGAAACTGAGGCTTTTAGTTTACAGCGAACTCCAGATGAATCTCTGGGTGCCAGCACCAGTGATAAATGCAAACCAGGTCGTGGGCTTAGAGTCACATCTCATCTCTCTTACAGTCTGCACTAATAACACCATATCTATAGTATTTTGCCCAACTCTGGACGCTGTACTTGAAGAAGGTCCTAAATAAATGAATCAAAAAATATGGGCACTCAGGATGATAAAAAATCTGGAAACCATGCTATATGAAAATTAGTTAAAGGAACTGGAATACTTATCCCAGGGAACAAAAAAGAAAAATGACTTAGTAGCCATATTGCTGTCTTCTCAATGTGAAGGGCAGTCACGAGGCAGGAGAATTCATACTTACTTTTTATAATCACACTGGAAAGAACTCTAACCAATGAGTGTGGATCCCAGAGAAACAGATTTTGTAAGGGCTTTTCCATCAGTGCCAGCTATTCAAAGAATGGATCAAGCTATCTTATTAAAAGTGGGACTTCCTGGGTATTCCAGCTTACTCAGCAGGGGTGAGAGAACCACACTGCGATGGATGAGAGCTGGATCCTGAAGTCCTCTTTCAGCTCTAAGAGTTTATGACCCTGGGGCCTGATAAGAGAAGGCAAGGAAGCAGATGAATCAAAAATATCTCCTAGGTGTTGAGGCTTCATGCTTTGGAGGAGGTGGTATAAGTAACAAAGAGATAGTTGAGGAGGGAAGGAGAACCTCAGGGAGGCAAATACAGTTTGAAGAAGCTGCAGAATATTCAAATGGTTTCAAGAACTCCAGCTGAAGTACCTTCAAATCCAGTTAACTTTGTTCTTTTCTCTAAACCTGGCACTTAAGACCCTGTTTACTGGTTAAGGAGTTCCATTTAATCAGTCATGGAAGTGAGGAAGGAGGAGTGGGGGAAAGAACTAAAACTTACTGAGTCATTCGCAGGCTTAAGATAGACTAAATTTCAGAGCAAATATACTGGGTAGTATTATCTTGTTCATTTTACAGATGAGGAAACTAAAGTAAGGAGAAGTTAGGAATTTGTCCAAGGTCAAACTACTGGTGGGTAGAAGTTGTATTCAGAGCTAGATTCCTTTTATTCCAAAAGACAATATACTTAAGAAAGAGAATATGTGAAAGGATATTTCCAAGTAAATTCTAATGTATCACTATTGTCACAAGAGAAATAAAACTGTTCTAAGAGTAGGCATTCAAGTATAAAGAAGAGGTCTTTCGACTTAGCAGATACATTCAAAATGCATTTGGAACTACATGATAGAAATTATTCAGATCATATATTGTGAGCATGTTTCTTTGGTACTGAACGGCAGGTTGCAACTAAACCCTTTGGCATAATAGAAATCCAAGAATACAGAAAAGCTGTATAACCCATTACTATATTTTTGGTAAAGGAAATGAGGAAAGTCTAGTTACTCTAAGTAATAGAAAAAAGACTATGTCTGACCATGCCAATGTATACTCAATTTTACTCCACAAAAGTAAAGATTAACCTGCCCAATGTACAGATTTATAAGTTAATAAACTCATTTATCTGAATAAAGCTCAAATAACTAGATTTTATTTTACTGTGGAGATGACTTATACCTATTTATGAGGATTGGTCTTTAGATGCCCCAAAATATAAATTATTAGAGGAAAACTTCAGTTGCATTTTGGGTAACATCTATTTAGTAACTCTTAAAAGTTATCTATTTTCCTTTTTAACTTGATTTAGATCAGCCAAATATTCACTTGATTTTCTCTTTGTCTTCAAGCAAATGATATATATTCTGGTAAGAAGGACTTATGACCTTTGACTAAGGGTCAACAGCTAAAGAGATTCCAAAAGACAATATCTGATCCTAGACTGCAGTACTATTTTGAAGTCATTCATGTCCATGTACATGATAATTTAAATTAGTGCCAGTTAACCTTAAAGAATATCTGGGTAAATGTATTCACACATAAATAACAGCTATTTGATTTATGCTCTGGTATTTTGAAAAATATTTTAAAAGCTAATAACTTAGATATTACATAAACCTGCAAAAAAAGCAAAGATTTAAAATAAGTTACTTATTTTGATATTACTCTTAATTACATTAAATCTGTGTTGTTACATATGTCATTTTACAAATGCTCCAGAAAAATAAAGTGAAAATAAACACTGTTGTATTATGTGCTATTTGAATACCTTATGGACAAGGACTATGACTTTTCCAGGTTCAGATGCTTTTTTCTTCTTGTCCAAGTGATCCTTGGCAATGTAAACAGCCACTCTGGTTTTCCCACTCCCTGTAGGGAGGCATATAATGATATTTTTCCCCTCCAAGGCTGGTTGGGTGACTTCCATTTGGTAAGGCCTGAGATGCAGTTCTGGCTCAGGGGATGCTCTTTCTGCCACATTCTCTTCATCTGAAGGGAATTAAAAGGTAGAAAAATAAGGGAATGGGCAATAAAATAACTAAGGCTAGGAAGTCCAAAACTGAATATAGGCTTCTCACGGTTTAAATTCCTTTTCATGTGTGGTCCAAACCAATCCATTTTTCTAGTTTCTGTACCAAATGGGCATCAGCTCTAGGCTGGCATTTGCAGGATACGACCTAGGCACTCCATCATGAAGGTGGCCTGGGGATGGAGGTGCAGAGGGAGTGAATTAACAGGATGGAGGACAGGAAGGGGAGGCAACATGGGAGAGTCCTTTCACAGTGTGGGCAAAGCCAGGGGAAATTGCAAAAAGGGCTGTGGTACAGAATTGGCAGTAATGATTCTTAATGCATCAGACTTTCTAGTTCTTTGTTGAGCCCTTATGCCCTACTTGTGTCTTATCACCTATAATTCAAGGGGAACTGGGAAAGCAGGAGCCATTGTTCCGTACCACCTCCTCCCTTCTTTTTATTGCAAAGAAGATATTATAGCTAATGGAGCTTTCCCTCATTAGAAAAACTTTGACAATAAAGTATCCAAAAGCCAGCCTGTCTGTCTGTCTGTCTATCTATCTATCTATCTATCTATCTATCATCTATCTATCTATCTCAAATATCTAAAGTGGCAAAAACAATCCTATTTTTGCCATGTGAGGTAGCTGCTTTAAACAGAAGCCATATTTAGGGAGAAGGAGAAAATCTCCCATGCAAACTTTTATTTATTTATTTATTTTTTTATTTTTTTAAATCTTTTTTTTTTATTATTTATTTATGATAGTCACAGAGAGAGAGAGAGAGGCAGAGACACAGGCAGAGGGAGAAGCAGGCTCCATGCACCGGGAGCCCGATGTGGGACTCGATCCCGGGTCTCCAGGATCGCGCCCTGGGCCAAAGGCAGGCGCCAAACCGCTGCGCCACCCAGGGATCCCCCATGCAAACTTTTAACTGATAGGTTTTCATTAAAAGATGAAAAGCAATTTTGTTAGTTTAAATTGAATTGTGACTAATTCTGGCATTTAGTTTTGAATTGTGATCTTTATCACTTTCTTATATGTATTCTCCATGCATCCATATTTTCCTGAAACTCAAAATGTGATATATTAAAAATCTTTCCAATTAACATAGATTTTTAAAGTTAAAATTCTCATAAAGTACTAACATACCCTAATTTTTTAAACAATAGAATAAAATTGTTAAAACATACCTCGGTTTAAATGTATTTTGTTTAAAAGTGATCATATTTATGTATAGGGAAATAGATCATATTTTCCAGGGGAAAAAAAGGTCTAGAAATGTATAATCTATCATGTGGAATGCAGTAAAATAAATATTATATCAATTTAAAACCCATCTTTGCTTTAAGCAATCATAAGAAAAAATGAAATGACAGCACTTAGTACTTCATTACACATGAAGTATTCCTTCTCTTATCAATGATTGCAATAAAACTAAACTAATATAATCCCATTAACTTCACAAAAGTTGCTGATGATTCCATTTCAGCAACTGGGTGATTCTATTTAAATGGGTTTTAGCTTATTGCGATAGTACTATGTGCACAGGTAGGAAAATTCACACCAAATATCACTTAGTAAGAGTCAGTCATCTACTAACCTGGCAGGCAGGAAATTTGCCTTCTGTATGGATGAGTAAACAAAGAAGCAATACATTTAAGTTATCACTGGATCATCTGCTGATTCATTTAATATGATTTTCAGGAAAAACCCCATTTAAGTTATCATTGGATCTTCTGTTGATTCATTTAATATGATTTTCAGGAAAAACCCATTTAAGATCACCAACATTTAAAGATACACATTTACTAGTTTGCTTTCCATGCTTGTTTTGAACTCTACAGCAATTGTAATAATTCATCTTCTATTATATTTATGTAAGGTTCAAATTTATTTAAGAATATCTTTACTTCTCTGCTATGTGGCTCTTATAATTTAAAAAATCCTAATATTCCACCTATATTATGAGAATTGATTACCTAGCTTTTCCAAAAGAGCAAGAATATTTGCAATAAAGATATACTTTAAGTTGTGTTTAGCATCAAGATTCAGAAATTTACTTTTGCTAAGTTGATATTTAATTTAGGAAAGTCCTTAAAAGAGATTAGCAAATTATTCCCTTTAATTTCACTCTAGGTATATTTTTGCATGGATTTTAAAAAGTAACAAAATTTGGCTTCCCTTGAAATAGTTACAAGTACCCCTTTAAATAATCAGTTTCCCTTTTGTTTTTCATGTTTACTACTGTATCCTTGGGTAACACAAATTAAAAAGAGAAACTTAGAGCAATTTTCTGTCTCTTTCCCAAGTAATCTAAAACTAAGTCAAATGAGTAAAACACTTATGCATTCTACATATTGCACTAATAAATGTGAGTTAAGATGTTAAAAGGGCTATCATGTTCAAAATTTGATTCTAGAACCAAACTTACTTGTTTCACTGCCACCTAACTCATCATGTACTTCTAGTTCATTCTGCCCCAAATATTTATGGGGTACTTCTTTTTGTGTGTGTGTATTTTTTTATTAGAGTTCAATTTACCAGCATATAGTATAACACCCAATGCTCATCCCCTCAGTGCCCATCACCCAGACACCCTGTCCCCCCGCCCATCTCCCCTTCCACCACCCCTTGTTCATTTCCCAGAGTTAGGAGTCTCTCATGGTTTGACTCCTCTCTGATATTTCCCACTCATTTTCTCTCCTTTCTATGGAGTACTTCTTATATGCCATGTAGTCCCAGGCATATAGCCCTTGTCTTCAGGGACTTCAGAGCCTAAAATATTATACTGCTGCCACTAAAAAATATCTGGCTATTAGACAGGTAGCTCAATTTAGCATCCATACTTTTGAGTCAAGTCGGGGAAACTTGATAGGTAGCCCTAAGTTTGAAAGACAAGCACAGAGTGAAAATGGGAAAAAAAAATAGAGTTGGATTCATTGTGAGAACAGCATCCAAAGAAGAGCTGGGTGAGTGCTAAATATTCAGCCTGATTCTTGCCTTATCACATCCTCTGACACAGGGATGGAAGAATTTATCCACATAAGCAATGAAAAGAGAATTTTCTCTTCTCTGTCACCAGAAGGAGAGAACTGGGCTGGTGTCAATGAGCTAGGAGCCAATTTCCTTTATAAAAGAAATGTTTGGGTTTTTGTTTGTTTGTTTTTTGTTTCTTTTTGGCTTGCTTTGAAAAGCAAAATCAATTACATGCAATAATGAATATGGTATTTAAAATATGCACAAGCTTCGAATAACGTTGTGCCCTTCCCCTATAACAAATATTGGTTGAAGACCTTGAAATTATACTGTACCATATAAATGGTCAAAAAATAAAATCGAATAGGACTTAAATAATAACATTTTATTGGAACTACACCATGTGGCACATTTCATTCTCACATTGATTTTGACAGCTGAGTTATTCTTGGAGAGAAAAGGTCTGTCACTGCATGTGTTTGAAATCGACAAAGTATTCCTTTACCTATAGTATGTAACTACAGAAAAACACGCCATTCCAGCTGGACAAATATTAATAGGTATTACCTCAAAATAGTAAGGAAACACTTTCTACATATCAGGCCAATGTGTATTGCCAAAAATATTGCCACTTTGTGAGATGCGGTATATCTCTATAAAAATGAGAGACAGAAAAACAAAAAAAGCCTTCCACAGCATAATTAGAATATTTAAACTTTAAAAGCATCATTAATCATGTTTTACTATGATGTAATACTTCCACGAAGGGACATAATGTTATAGTATTGGGTCACATTCATGATCCTTATGTCCCATTATATAATTGGTGAAGGTGGAAAGGACATATGGGATAGAATCTCTTTTTGTCAACCTCAAAGTTTAAGATATTATCCCAAACATTGTAATGTTTTTCAGAAATTCAATATATGTTTACCAATTTGTAATTTATCTAATCCTTTTTTTTTTGCATTGATTTCTACTTTGGTCTATATCATGCACCTGAGGGAAAGGAATTTCATAATTTTATAAATTCAGAATTTTACTACACACTGTGCAAAGTAATTCTCTGTTTCTAAGCACTGACCTCATCTAGACCATCAATGGGTGCCCTCTGAAAATGTGTTTATCTTCAAATATATTTGCCTTTGAAAATGTATTTGCTTTTTAAAAGTAGGTTGCGTTTAGATTTATCATGTCTTTCATGCCACATTGAGGACTGAAAATCAGCAAACAGTTACATTTGCTAGCAGCTCTAAATAGACAAAATGCCCAGTACACAGAGCATGCCCATTAAATATTTATTGAAGGAATGAATATTGTTGAAAAGCCCTTACTAGACAAACAAAAATTAGGATGAGGTCCAGAAGCTTAAAACAACCATAAAGATGTTAAATATTAGCTAGAGCATACTCTGAGTTCTAACATCAATAACATTTAATAGAAATGTTAATTATTAAATCTAACAACTGTATAACAAGTTTGGAAAAATCAAATATAAGCCACAGAAAAAAGCACAGGGCAATAAGTTAATAAACACTGAGTGCAGTGAACAGAAAATGAATTAACCTTTTAAAATCTTGGAAAGCTTTTAGGGCAGATGACCATTTTTATGTAAACGATTTTGTCCCTTTAGGATTCTCCTGACTAAATTTCTAGAATTCTCCTGACAATGCGGGGGAATCTGAAGTTCACAATATTTTCCAAGTGTTTCTACAACTCAATCACAGAACAAATGAGTAACAAGGTACTTTGTGTTTCCTAATTTGCCGGTTTCCCACTGATTCTTAGCTGGCCACGTTGCACAGCATTTTTTGTTCGTTTATAATCATTAATTTTAATCGTGAAATATTTCAAACACACAGAACAAATATAAGAAGGTGTATAACCGATATGCGAGGATCTATCAGCTCTTAGAAAATGTTAACATTCTAGTTCAGTAGGAATCATTGGAATTACACACTCAAACAACAGAAAGAGGCCATATGAAATCAACCATACTGACAGAATTTAGGCAATCCGGTAACAGGAAATATTGCTGAAGTGTGGGGCTGGGAGGAGGTCCTCTCATTTACTGCTGGTGTGCTATCCAACTAATAGAGCATTAGGGAAACACCTAATAAAGTTCTCATTTAGTGACAGAAATAATTTTGGAAGCTCTACTTTTATGCCAGAGATATTTAGACAATTGAATCTCTTTTAACTACATGTGTAATTTTTAGTTTTTCATTTTAAAAGGACTCTTGTTAACCGGGTGACGGGCAATAAGGAGGGCACGTGATGGAATGAGCACCGGGTGTTATAGGCAACTCAATGAATCACTGAACTGTACCTATGCTATATGTCGATTAATTGAATTTAAATAAAAGAATATTTTTAAAAATAAATAAATAATAAAAGGACTCTTGTTACCTGCAGTTAATCTAGAGTCACAATTATCTTATTGATAGTATTAACTTTTTTATTTAAAATGTATTTTAGTTTAAAAAAAATTAAAAAGTAGAGTTTGGGAACACATGTTCCAAACTGAATACATAATTTAAATGCAGTCAAATTAAGAAACAGATAGCATAAATAAAATAGATGACCTGATTGAATGTGGAATATGCATATTCTTATCTACACCAAAAAGATAAGTACTAGATCAAAAATTAGAGAGCTTGATTCTAAGACTTTTATAAGTTGTACTTTTAAAGAAAGTGAATGGCAAAGTTCCAAAACCACTTCAACTGTAGAAAAGAATTGCTTTAATTGCATAAATACATTAGGGAGGGTATGAACAGCCCCCATGCTTTCCACTATATGGCGTCTTATTTCACACTTTTTAAGGTTTACACAACAGTTAGGCAGTACCTGAATCACTTCCCATGGTGCCTGAATCACTGCCCATGTTGCTGTTATGTCCAAGACTTTCATCTAAGCAGCTGACACTTCCTTCTGCCAAACTTGTGTCTGATTCTGCAAAGGAAAACATTTTAAAATATTTTTAAAATATTTCTGAGAATAAACGTATTTTAACTGCACACCTCTACAGCACACAGTACATACAGTTCAATGCAAGTGGAAAAGGCACACCCAGACAATTGTGAATAAAAGGTAAGAGTTTCTGGCAAGCCACAATTAAAAACTCTACTATGGATGAGCAGCTGGCGGGTAGTGAATCAAACATATACACCTACTTGAAGTATCGTACATCTGATACGAGAGCAAACACAAACTTGTAAACATTGATGACTTTGGTTGTCCCCCCACGTGGAGGTTTTGTCCAAGAAAAGAAAATCTAGGCTTGATAATGGCACTGAAACAGAAAGTATTTTATAGTAACCACTGAGTTATTTTAACACAATATGGTAGGGAATTAATAAGGTTTAAAAACTTATTAAAGTACAGTACACGGTTCTATTGATTGGTTATGAAAATAACAGTTCAGTGATAAACAAAACTTTAAAATTTCAAAGAGAATGTGCTCAAAAAGAATCTCATTAAAGCCTGGTATTGCAGTTTTACTGGAAGCTTATATGAGGTTGGAAATAAATGTCTTCCTTTACTACAATTAAATTAAGCTTCCATCAAAAAGTTACGGTTAAGATGAATGGCAAGAGCGTTCCTTTAACTTGTGAATCCCGATGTTTGGTTTTCAGTACTCAGTATCAATGCCTTTTGAAGGTCTTTTTTTCTCTCTAGGGAAGACTTCCCTCTTTACAGTTTATTGCCAAGGACTTATGCAATCTTATCCACAAGGATCAGAACTATCGTGAAACTGGTAAACGTAAATGAAAGATGGCAACAAACGTCGGCTCTGGAATCAGGACTTGTGAAATTTGCTCTTGAGGTTGCTCTGAGCCTGGCTGGCCCTTATTTAAAATGGGGATAGTACAATTCACCTCCTAGAATTTGATAACCATTAAATGATATTAGGTACAATAAGCTCTTAGCACTGTAGCTTAACTGCTGATGACTGGAAAATGAAATAAAAATTAGGTCGTTGGCATATTATGAGGGTAGGAGTTCCATTAAATAATGTTCTTCCTACAATTAATGACATTTCATAATATTTATACTTGTTTCAGAATTCTCATTTCATGCTCAAGCTCCCAAACTCACTGAATAAATTACATGAAGGTAGCCTTGAGCTACTTAAAACTAATCTGAATGTCACACATTTAGGGCTAGAAATAGAAATGGTTGAAAAATGCACATAGTATATTATCAATAAAACTTCTCTGGAAAAAGACAGTGTACAACTCCTCAAAACTACAAGTATCTTCTTTTTCCTTAACCACTTATTTTTTTTAAGTGGGTACCTTGAGGTATAATTTACATACTGCAAAAATCACTCTTTTTAGGTTGTTCTCTTAGGTAGGTTTGTTTGATGAGTCTGACAAATATATGCAGTTTTGCAACCACCATCACAAACAAGATTTTCTTGTCACCTCGGAAGTCTGCTCAAGCTCCTTTGGTGTCATTTCTCTTCTGCCGTCCCCCAGGGGTCCCTGATTTGGTTTCTGTCCCTATGGTTTGGCCTTCTCCAGAATGTCTCATAAATGGATCCACACAGTATGTAGCCTCTGTTAGACTTCTTTGACATAGCATAAGATGTTCGAGATGCATCCACGTTGTTTATATCAGGAACATTCCTTTTTATTGCTGACTAGTACTCTGGGAGCATCTGCAACATCTGTGACATCTCCCTTCCAACTTGGATAAGTCTAGTCAGCGGGAAATATAACGTAATCATAGCCAATGCTGATCAAACATGTATGGATGGCATCTTTCTTAAAAGTTAAGAGAAAACTGATAAGAGATTTGTAGAAAAATTCTCAATGGACATACATACTGTTTAAGTATATTAGCACAACATAAATATACTAATGTGAAAATACTGTGCCTACCAGTTGTCATAGATTAGCTTTCAAAATCAGATTTGAGGAATCCCTTATGATCACACGGGAAAACCTGTATATCTCACTGAGAGATTTTAAATATGGCACTTTGCAATTCCCAGAGGTATGCCTTGTTAGAAGCTTAGAGGCGAGTGTGGGATAGAACTGTCAAGTAGAAGAACGTTTTGGGCAGATGTACTGATGAAAAGAGAATATGATTTATAAGGAAAAGGCAAGGTGTAAAATGAGATGGAGAAAATATCATTGCAAGGATAATTCTAGATCTAGAAATATAGACTAAGACTCCTGAAGCAAAAAAAAGTAAATTTTGACATGCGTTTCATTTGTTGTTTTAAATATGGTATTAGAACTGAAGATAATACTAAAAATACTGATAAGTATTATCTAAAATCCAACCCTGTATCTTTAAGTTTCCTACTATGCATAACACAAGTGGAAATTATACTTGATTTTCATTGCATTTTCTAACCACTAGCAGTTGACCAACAATCTTAAAACTACTTTGTATATATGTAAAATCGAGGTTTTCTCCATGCTTTGTTTTAACATAGATAGGTTTAGGGGAGCTAATTTAGTGGAATATGCATGATTAATTTATAAATAATAAAGAAAGTTGCTACCAAAAATAGGGTATTATTAATTAAGTTTATTATACGGATTATTTTGATCTTACAAACAAATCTGCAATGTGTCGGGAAGACACTGGGCTCAGTGCCTTCACAGATGTATATTACACTCTAAACCTCAACATCCTATGTGGTAGATACTCATTATCACCTTAGTTTTATAGTTGAAAAAACAAGGCCCAGAGAAGTTAAATGATTTATCCTGATCACACAGCTAGAATGGGGCCCAGCTAGGAGTCCTCATCTTCTGAATCCAAGCCTGGTATTCTAGTGCTTTTTATTTGATACCAATCATGGCTGATGATTTGTGTGAAGCTTTATAAACAAGCAAACAATCCTATATCCAAGTGTTAAGTGAAATGAAAGTTGATTATTGTTGTCGTTGTTTAAAAGCATATAGTCATTTTCATGGTAATGTCAAATTCTCTATCAATCTTGAAACAGTTTATCTCCCAAGGGGGAAAAAAAAGTAGAGAGATTGTATTATTTTGCTAACATTTCTGATTTCGTCGATAGACTTTTGTTTACTTTACATTTAAACATCCACATTTATTTTGAAATTTACTTTTTTGCATGCAAATAAAAGAGGAGCTCTTCCATCCTTGTTAAACAAAATTAATTGGAATAATTCTGCTAGAGATAATTATGAAAATGAAAGTGAATATATAGAGGTCTATTTCTTTGTCATTTTGAGGATATATAAAATCTCCACTTTCTCAACACAAAAATAATTTTGTTTCCTAGGCAGCGAATTCTTATGCATTTCATATAATTTCTTTTATTTCATAGAAAGAGAAGTACTAAAGGAAATAACTTTAATAATAAAAGAAAATATATTGAATCTCCCATAACATTAAGAATGTCTTTCCCAGAGATTTTCTTCCTACATTCACTTAAAGAAACTATGTTTAAAAAATTACACAAACACACATACACATGAGGTCAGATCAAGTGGTTCTATGATGCCAAAATTAATCCAAGCTATAAATTTATAAGCCAAGAATTCCTGCAACTGATTTATATAGTATTATTTTGTTTCATTCTTTCTACTTTTTCACAGTATGTCAATCTGGACTTACATCCTGATGAACAAAGTCATGTCTATGATTTTAAAATAGATCAGGTAAAATAGTCAATTGAAGGCAGCGTGTTGCTATGAAAAGAACATTGTGCCATGGAGTCAAACAGATCGGTCTCCAGACCTGATCTCAGCCACTGCTAACAAGTGACTTAGCCTTTGTTTTCCTAAAATTTTTAAAATATAGACAGTAGTTTCTACTTTCTCATTTATTTTGAGAATGATTCCGTTAGATAGAGGAAATGAATCTTGAAGAGAAACAAATCTTAAATTCTCATGAAGTTGCTACTTAAATGGGCTTTGAATATTGGAGTTATATTATATAATAAGTTTAGTTAACTTTTATATAGGTGTCATTTCCTCTTGGGAAAATACCAAAGCTGGCTACAAAATAGATTAGAAAATGCTGGTAATTTCTGTTAAAAAAAAAAAAAAAAAAAAGCAGTTATTTATATCAAACTCTTTTGGAATGAAGGAAAACGATACTCATCCAATTAAAAGATAGGATTTTTCTGTAATAATTTTGTAAACAGCACAAAAAAAGAACAGTTCTGCCTACAATGATGGTGTCTAAGACCAGTCCATTAGCCATGGGAAAAATGCCTCATTTTTCAATCACAACTTGAATCTTTCACTAATAAGACAGAAATATTAACAGAATCTGAGAAATTTCACATTTAACATCTTCTAGACTTTAAATACTTTAAAATATTTTTAAACCATTTAGAAACCAAAAATATTGAAGTTAAAAAAAATTCAAATAAAAAAAAAAAAAAACAACCTCTTGGTGGAAGGCCTTTTTAGATCTATTTCAATGTAAAGTATGCCCTCTGCTGGAAAATGCTATTATAACAATTAGTTGGTAAGTACATTGTTTATTCAACCTAAGGGTTAAGCCTCATTAGGTCAGATTACAAATTGGTTCTTCCTTCTATTCCTGCCAGGTAATGTCCCTCCTATTTTCAGCCTAGATATATTTCTCACTCCACAGAATATTTCTTCTTTTTCACCCCTTGCCTCAGGCTGTCATACATTCTCTTTGCGGAAAAGTGGTTTTGCATTAGAGCAGGAAGCCGCCAAGTGGCCAGGGCCCCTGAGGACGTTGAGAAAGAAGGGCACCAGCAGATCCCATTCACCAGAGACGTAGTGCTTCCAAGGTCTGCCAATGGTCTAATTTCACTTGTCACGGTACTTGCATGTTTTTTCTAGTTCTGACCTTGTAATGCATTTTAGCTTCGCATATTTAGCGATTCCCTTTGCCTGGTTTCATAATCCCCACGGTCTGGAATGTAGACGACTACCCCTGAAGAGTCAAACATGTGTGCACGTAGGGGCACACCCACAAAGATT